ATCAAATTTTTTCTGATAAAAAACAGAATTTTCTGTTTTTTTGGTTTTTTTTTTTTTTTTCCTGGCATTGACTTGCGGGACAATAAGCTACCATTTTGTAGTCGTCTCCATAGCTTGCAAAACTTACTAGCTGCAGACTCATGCAGGACACTCATTTAACTTGTATAATTCTTATTGCTGGCTGGAGGAGGTCAGCTCCTCGAAGAGGAGATTGGGGATGGGTGGCAGACTGCATCAAAATCACTGGTATGATATTTTGAAAATAAGTTGCATTTTTCTGTCCTCTGTGCTAAGAAGAAAGAATATTTTAGGTAACTCCCCTGAAAATGCTGAAGAACTTGAAAGAGCCAGTGAGATGAAGGAAAAAGAAGCTGCATTGTAAGTTTGGTGTCAGTAAAGCTGTTAGACTCCATTTCTGGAGAATGCCACTGCTTTGGGCTGCAGTTTACACTCTGCTTTTGCTCATTCATTGCTCTGCTCAACACAATGCTTGGCTTTAATGAGGGCTCACCTAAAGAAAAAAAGCTCCATGCTCTTCTCTGTGCACATATTCCCTAATGTTTCTGTCTCTGTGCTTGTTGCTGTTTCTTAATTGAAAATGTACTACTTCATAATTCTTTAGTATCATGCACTGACTTATTTTAATACTTAGCATTGAGTGTGTATGTTGCAAAAAGAAGTAGCCAATGGCTTCCTCAATGTATTTACTTGGAGTGATATTTTCATCTAGCTGCTTAATGATTTTATGTGTTTTAAAATCCCATTTTTCATATGATGGTCTTATATTCACTACAAATTAGAAGCTATGGAAGAAAGTACTAATAACAAAATGATGATTTCTTGATGGTATAAGAAAAAGTGGCAGGAGCTATAATGAGCATAAGGGATCTTTTGAAAAAACACATGATTTTAAAAAAGCCAACAAAGAAGAAGATATATTTATGTATGTACATGCCAGGCAATCAACTCAGTTAAGTCTTCATTTTTCAGCTTGCCATAGTGCATGTTTGTAGGTCAATGGTTTGATCTACGTTTTTACGTACAGTAGTAGCAAATCTGGGCTGTTTACATCATGTTACAGAGTTGTGTAGTTTCCTTTCAGGCTTTGTAATAGAAAATAATTTTGTAATTTATAGTAGCCACAAAGGTTGGGTTGAAGATTGTTTTTTATGAAGATCTTCAAAGATGAACGGGTATTTCCTGTTCTAAAAAATGGTGAATGTGGGGAGCTATTGGTGAAAAGAGGGAAACTTGTAAGTGATGTAAGGTGCTGCTAGAAATACAGAATTAACTGCCAGATTTCCATGCCACTCCTAGTTGCAGTGAGGGTCGAGTCTGTTAAATATTGTAAACTCTCATTTAAATGAGTGAATTGTCCACAGGTGTCTAGAGTTCCTTCTACAAAATGATGCCAATCCATCCATTCAAGACAAAGAGGGGTACAACACTGTGCATTACGCTGCTGCATATGGGCACCGGCAGTGTTTGGAACTGGTGAGTGCTCAGACAGTTCAAAAGTCTCTTATCTGCTAATATATATATATATGTGTGTGTGAGGGTGGGTGTGTGCGTCTATATGCTAGTGTTATGAACTCCCCTGATGGTTACTGTTGGAGTTCTTTGGATATTCACAAATCTGTGAAAACCTGCAATATGGTGCAGTAAACTCAAATATATGCAACCAGATGTATCTTAAAAATATGTTAATCTTGATAATCCCGTCCTTGTTCAACAAGCTGGTGCTTAAATGTTGTCTTTGAGTAGAGTTTTATGTGTGCTCAAATTATTTTTACCTGTGATCAAAATATTCTCTGTGTATGTGTATGTGCCAGTAGTAAGGGATAGTTCCCCGTGCAAGACAGTGTATGCTCCCTCTGCAGCTGGCATGTTATCTGACTTGCAAACAGAGTGTAAATAGCTTTTGTCAGCTGCGTACTTGCAGTGCCTTTTTGCTTCTGGTGAAATGCTAGCAGCATTGATAAAGTTACCATCATCAAGATTAATCTTGTCTACAATGTACCTGGCTTTTTTTTGTTGTTTTTTAATATCCTGGACCTGAATGATTAGAAATTGCATCTCATAACAAGCCAAAACTTCTTTGCCAAAAATTGGATTTGGGAGATGTATAGTATGGATTTATAGAAGTTTATGACTTGTAAGAAATAAGAGTTGTGAAGATGCGTGTTAACTGAACTGCTTGATATATAGGGTTATCCAAAATTAGTGTCACATATAAATAGGCTTTAATTGCTTTTTTAAAAAAGCTCTGATTAGAAAATTGTATAGATAATCATGCTTTAGTAAGAACACTGTGTGCTGTTTAGTGTTTTATGTTGTTTGGTTCTTTTGTTCTTTGTTGAAGTACTTAATTATTGAAAAGGAGCTCTGCACAGCACATGCTGCTTTCACACCACATTTACCAGTGCTGTCAGTTACTGCCACCACAGGAAAAATATTGCAGCTGACCTACATCAGGGTCACAACAGCTAGGAAACCTCAACCTGTAATTACACCAGGGCAGTCCTGGGTCAGAATCTCAGGTGGGATGTTAAGCCTTTTTAGCTCCCACCTGCAAGCATGTATATTTAGGACACTTAAAATATCATGGCTCCTTTGTTGCTTGTGGCAGCGAGTCTGAGCTTCCCGTGTTTAGAGTCTATTCCTAGAGCTGGTCTCTCATGACCCTGCCCATGGGGATGGAGGGGTCTTCTGCTGAGCCTGCTGCCCATTTGGAACAATAGCAAATGTTCTGGCATTTGTAGGGTATATATACAGAGCAGCCTCCTCTGTCCTGCATACAAGCCTATGCTTGTATGGCCGCAGCAATGTGTATGGCAACCTTACCTGTGTCTTACCACCAGATTTGTGCATGCCTTGCATGAGCAAAGATGGGGAATTCACTGGGGAGTTCTCTTTCAGACTTCATATCCTGTGTGCTGCGAGCTGTGGAACAGGCACAGAGCAAGGTCCCCTCTCTTTTCTTTTGCTTGTTGCTGTGCACGTTTTCTGGCAACATATCGGTTGCAGACAATGACCTGCTATCGAACCCCCGTGTTGCTTGGGCTTGCCAGACAAAAGGAAGAGCTGGAAATGCAGCGTATATCAGAGGTGTTGGGTTTTCTTTTAATATTGGAGGGTGAAATGCAAAATGTGGGCTAGAGGCAGCTGTGCAGCAAGTGTTCTATATTTGGACAGAGAAATTCAATGTTTTTCCATGTCAGTCACATTTGAGGGATCAGGATTTGTTCAGAGGTTGACAGGCATCTCATTTTCTCTCTTGAATACAAAAGCTAAATGTACCAGAAAGCATTTGTGCTCGATCAACAGTAGGACCAGGAGTTGTCAACTTTGCACTCACTGTGATTCTGTTTTGTTCATGTGAACAGTTGTTCCTTAGCTCTAGTGAGTTACCAAGTCCTGAGTTTAATAACTGTATATTTGATAACAGCGACTAACTGATTGATACACCTTTACACTGATTTTTTTGCATTGCTTGGATTCAGGATGCCAAAAGGGTCAGGACCAAAGTCTGGAGTAGCTGAAAGGTAATTGTGCCCTGGGCATGAAATGGATATAATCCTCATGCCTAGATTTATTCACGTACTCCAACATGAGACTCTGAGGTGTTAAGGCAATTGTTGATTCCTGTGCTTCATCTGATGAAGTAGTGTCATCTGTAGACGTCACTATCCTGTAATACAGTCAAATTGTTTTTGAGAGTTATGGTGTATCTATGGCTATTTGAAGGCTGTGTGTAAAATCTGCAATAAGAATTCATCTGGTGCAGACGGAGAGGAGCCTCACTGTCTCATGAGGCTGACTGGTGGCTTGGTCACAGTTGTTTGTGCTCTCTGTGGCGGCCCTATGACAAGGACTTCATCATGAATCATGATCTTCATTTCTGCTAGCTATTAACCATGGTACATTGACTGCTGTAGTTATTCCTAGTTGAATGAAGCATCCACCAAGGTTTAACTGCTTCTAGGCATGACTTTTATCTAGAGGCTCCTTCTTTTTCACACAGCAGAGAGAACAGTAAGTCCTCAATTGCCATCTTAGTCCTTAGTCCTCAAGCCTTCTGTTTATCAGTTTTCAAAACTGAACTGACGGTGATCCAGAAAATTGGCAATGCTATTTGCCTCGTTTTTGTCTTCTGAGCTGCACCGGGCTCTCCTCAATAATGGTGGAGGCAGCTGCCGTTTCCAGTTAATGACTGCAGGTTGACACGGTGGGTTAGTGTGCAGAGTAGGTGCTGGTTATGTCTGAGGAGTACTTGGCTGCTTTTGTTGCTGTATCTTGGAAATATATTTTTAATGTTGTTTTTCTTGTCTTCACTGCTAATGAAAAGGAAAATAAGATTCACAATATTTTTAGTTGATCTTACTCAAGGAACAGTGGGAGCCCAGCAGCCCTAATTCCAATGTAAATATGTCTGTAGATAGACAGGGAGATTTTTTATTTTCGTTTCACACGTGCAATAACAGAGATAAATTGATGTCTTTCTTAAAAGTGCTAACTTCAAACCACTAGTTTTTATCACAGGAACTCAGACATATGCAATACTCCTTCTAAACTATTTCCAATCCTTTCTGTCCTGAAGAACAGATTTTCAGGCAGGATTACTGAAATAACAACATTATTTATCGGTGCCAAATTAACTCTTATTTTACTGTTTTATCCCTTGGGTAGATATTTTTCGTTTATTATTGGTAGGTCATACATGAAAAAAATCTAGGAATTATCTTCCCTAGAATAAGACAGTTCTTTACGGGCATAAAACTGTTAGAGGAAAAAGTATATATAAAATGTGAAGCTTTAATTCTGATAAAAACTAAGGCAAAGTGGGTGCAACAATGAGCTTGAGTTTATGAGTAATGGTTGCTAGTATTTCTCTACATGCACAATACCAAACTTCGGCAAAATGTTAGGGAACTACTTCGGTGTTCCAGAATATGTCAAGTTTATAAAAGACCTTGTAAGATCAGTTTTTTTCTTCCCCTCTTGCCCTGGTTTTTATAACACATATTTAAAATAGCTTATTTCTAAATAAATGGTCTTTTAATAAAAAAGCCTGAAGAAGATGCAGTATCCAATGGAGTTTCCTTCGCTGAGAGATCTTATCGGTGCTTTAAGCTTCATAGCTTCTCAGCATTACAAAATATTTACACATTTGAGTACAGTTTAGGAAAGACTGGTTTATCTGCGAAAATATACTTTCATTTTTTGACTTCTGTGTTTACTATGAGCCCAACACCTTGGCTGGAATTTAGCTGAATTTATTTGTGGGGAGAGGAGACCTATTAGGAGAAATAAGGATTAAGAGTGAAAAGGTCATATCCTTTGACCCAACCAAATAAAATCTGTGTTTGTGTGTTCAACCACAGAGCTCAATGACAGAAGCTTTTTTCCTGGAGGACCTTTAGGTTGTCTGGGATATTAGTGGGATAGTGGCCCTGCAGTGAATGACGTGATGTTGCTAAAAAGAGAAGAGTGGAAGCAGATTCTTGAATTCTTTCCCCATCTGTAAGGAGCCATTCATAAAGGCTGGATGGTGGGCATGTGTGCTTACAAGCAACTGAAACTCCTATCTGCTTTCCTACTTCTAAAAATAACCTCACATTTGTTTAGATTGGGATTGGTTTCTCTGGTGTTTGGTAGTCAGTGATATCGATCACAATCACTAGCTGGTATTTTAGAGCTGATCACATCACCAAACTACTTTGAAAAAAAGAAAAATATGGTGGGTTTTTTTCATTGACATGATCTCTTATCACAAAATCCTTATTGGCTTGAAAAGAATGAAATTTAAATTGTTATTTCACATTAAAATTCTATCTGGAGAGCCAGTCAAGTGCTTTGTGCTCGTAAAAATAGGTTTTTGTGCCGTGGTAGGGGAAACAGCATTAAATATCTGCCTCCTGTAGCGAAACCTCTTCTCTGACTGTAAGAATTTATGGTTATTTTTTCTTTTAATCTGCTCTTCTTTTTACTCCATCAGCAAATGAAATTCACTCTTTGGCTAACAGAAATTGAATCCGCACAGGGGCTAATTCATTTGAGGATGGGAGGAGAGCATGGTTTAACCGAAAACCGTGTCCAAAAGAAAAGGCAAATCTCAGTCTGCCTGCCTGCCTGAAACAAGGTGATCCAAACAGCGGGATGTGTCAGGCAGAAGGGACAGAGGGACATTTCCCGCTAGCGGAAGGCTATCTTGGCTGTGCCATGAAAGGAGAGGCTGGGTTTGAAGAGAAAGAAATCGCTTTTTATTAGACCCTGCTGTTACCACTGGAAAATAGTTAAGCCGTGCCTTCAAACACTTGGTTCCTTAACCCAGGGAAAAATTGAAATCACAGACCTTATAAATCTTCAGTGTGGCTGCTACTAATTAGATATGTCTCTTATCAACAAGAATTTGCTCATTCATCCGTCTGAGAGCAGGACTCTGGTTATTAGTGACAAATGAATCACAAATGTGGTTGGGATAGATGTTACAA